TTCTCCCAGGGTGTGTTGTGTGTATGTCACACATCTTCTGTAAGGCAGCGCAACAGAGATCTGTCAATGTGATGGAGACCTCATTATTGTTTCTATCTTTATTTTCTTTTATTATGAAGGCCATTGGATGTTTTTTCAAGTTTACTGGCAACCTGTATCTCTTTAGTGAATTACTCTTCGTGTCATTTGCCTGTTTTTATATCTAGGTTATGTTTCTACCATTCTTTAAAAGATTTATTTATTCATTTACTCATTCATTCATTCATTCAAAAGAGAGAGAGAGCGAAAGAGAGCAGGAGAAAGATCTTCCATCCTCTGGTACACTCTCCAAATGGCCTCAACAGCCAGATCTGGGCCAGGCAGAAGTCAGAAACCATGAATTCCATCCGGGTCTCCCACTTGGACAGCAGGGATCCGAGTACTTAGGCCTTTATCCACTGCTTTCCCAGATGCACCAGCAGAGAGCTAGATTGAACACAGAGCAGCTAGGACTGGAACCAGCACTCTGACATGTGATGCCAGCATTGCAAGTGGCTGCTTAACCCTCTGTACCACAAGACTGTCCCCTGGCATTTAACTGTACTTTCTCTTTCATGTTCTGACATTAATTCCATCAAACTTCTTACAAACATCTTCCCCCCATTGATTACCTTTTCCTTTCATGATTTTTTTTTTTTTTACAGATTTGTTTACTTATCTGAAAGTCAGAGTTTCAAAGAGAGGGAAGGAAAGACAGAGATCTTCCACCTGCTGGTTCACTCCCTAATGGCTGCCATCGCCAGGGCTGGGCCAGACTGAAACCAGGAACCATGAGCTTCATCTGGGTCTCCCACGTGGGTGGCAGGGACCCAAGTACTTGGGCCATCTCCTGCTGACCCCCCAGGCACATTAGCAGGGAGCTGGATTGCAAATGGAGCATCTGGGACACAAGCTGGCTCCCATAAGGGATGCTGGCATTGCAGGCGGCAGCTTCCCCTGCTACGCCACAATACCATCCCCGTGGCCCTTTGAACCAACAAATATTTTCAGTTTAATATCAGTTAATAAGCTCACTTTTTCTTTGTTAAAAGAAAATTGAAAGCCAGTAGACTAAGTTTGAAAACAAAGAAGTCTGGTTTGTTACATCTGCTGGTATCTGCAGTAGAAATAGTCCCACCGAGCTGATTTTTAGCTAGCAAAATTCCTGAATATTTACAACTGCCTCTACAAGTCTGTGCAAGCCAGCTCCAGCACACCACCGCTACATGGCTTCTAAGTTTAGAAAGTGCTTCTCCAGGAGCAGGTGTGTGGCCTAGCAATTAAGATACTGGTTGGGACACCTGCATCCCATATTAGAGGACCTGGGTTCGAGTCCCAGCTCTACTTCCAATTCCAGCTTCCTGCTAATGCAGACCCTGAGAAGCAGCAGCGATGACTCACACGGTTGGGCCTCTGCCCCTTGTATGTGACACTGGGGTTGAGATTTGAATTCCTGCCTTGCCCATTGCAGGACTGTGAGGAATGAACAAGTAAATAGGAGTTCTCTCTCTGTCTCTCTTTTTGTCTCTCAAATCAATCAATCAATCAATAAAAGTATATAAAAAAGAAAGTTCTCCATATTAAGGTTAAATGGATATATGTGTTCTTTTCAAACATAATATTTTAGTTATTTTAATGTTTTATTATCCAAACAAAATATTTACCGATGAAAACTCAGAAAATATAAAGAAATTTTAAAAATTAAATTAGCAATATTCCTTTCACACAGAGATATACAATTATCAATTTTTTTATTTGACTGAGTTAGTGAGAGAGAGAGAGACAGAGAGGAAGGTCTTCCTTCCACTGGTTCACCCCCCAAACGGCTGCTACGGTCGGCGAGCTGCACTGATCCGAAGCCAGGAGCCAGGTGCTTCCCTTTGTCCTTGGGGGCTTTAAGGGGGAGCCAGAGCAAGCCGCTGCTGCTGCTGTTCCATCCCGGGGGAACACGCAGTCATGCTGAACGTTTGACGTGCCCGTGATGACTGCTGCCGATGTTTGGTTCTCAGTAGGGATCCTTTCCGGTGCTGTGTGAAGACTGCCTAGTGGTAAATCCCCGGGGTTGAGTCCCTACTCTTAGGGATCCCCCCCCCCATTCTTTTTCTCTCTCTCTTCCCTGCTTCTTAAAATTTGCTACTTAAATAAACTACTTGTTTCTTTATACTACAAGGCTTGCAGAGTATTTCTTGCGGATCGAACTAAAAGTAACTAAGTCTGTGCACAGCGGACAGCTAAAAAATAATTTACTGTCACACTGTGGTTGTAGCTGGAAGTTCAAGTACGTCATAAGGATGGGGTCCTAATCCGGTACAACTTATAAGCAGAGGCACAGGGACGTGTGTGCATAGACAAGAGACCAGGTGAGGACACAGTGAGAAGGTAGCCGCCTGCAAGCCGAGCAGGTCCAACCTGGCAGGCACCTTGATCTTGGACTTCCAGCCTGCAGAACTGGGAGGAAATAACCGGCTCTTGTCGAAGCTGCCCCGTGTGTGTGTGCGGCAGACCACCAGCGCGATATGTCACCCTTCTCAGTGATGCCAAGGGGCAGGCAAGCCCATGGCCCCTACCTTTAACCCCGCCTTCCTCTCATTACAGTGGATTGAGATGGAGAGAACGCCCTGGTGGTTTATCACTCTTGCACACGCTCCTCATTCCACTGTCTTGTGCTGCCCAAGTGAGCCTTTCAGACTTTCCTGGAGCTCAGCTGTGGCCCTGCTCTTAGATTCTGCAACAGAGCTCTACATCCTGCAAGTAAAAATTCCCATTCTCAAGTTGGTATCTGCTGCTCGCAACCAGAAGAATTTGACAGGAGGGGCCGGCGCTGTGGCACAGCAGGTTAAAGCCCCAGCCTGTGACGCTGGCATCCCATATGGGCACTGGTTCGAGTCCTGGCTACTCCACCTCTGATCGAGCTCCCTGCTAATGCACCAGGGAAAGCAGCAGAAGATGGCCCAGGTGCTTTGTCCCCTGTACCCACATGGGACACCTGGGTGAAGCTTCTGGCTCCTGGCTTTGGCCTGGCCCAGCCCTGGCCATAGCAGCCATCTGAGAGGAGTGGACCAGCAGATGGAAGATCTCTGTCTCTGTCTCTCCCTCTCTCTCTGTAACTCTGACTTTCAAATAAATAAATAACTCTTTAAAAACAAAAAAAGAATTTGACAGGAAAGGGAGAAATCCTGGGGAACAAAAAACGCCTTTAGCTAAAGAAGAAGTGGGATCTCTTGTAACAGAACGTTTCATCTCCAAAACGTGTGTTTCCATGTGTGGTCCAAATGAAGGTTTTATTTAATTCTTTGTAAAAAAAAATTAAAGTTCTATATTTTCAATGTGCACAGGACTTTGTAGAAAGCATGCTGATACCATCTGAACCTATGTGATCATTTAACACCTGTGCCACCGGTTTTTGGTGGTGGTGACAGTGTTTAATCCATTCAACAGAGGCTGTAGAACAACTCGCCATATAGGAGAAGACCTAGGACGGGAAGTAGGTATTCTCCTAAAGAGCGAGAAAAGGCTACTATCGCCTGAAGTCGACCCACAGCATTTCAGTAAGGCCGGTTCACTTACAGTTAGCCCTTAGGAAACTGGCCTTTTGAAGGAAGGAAGTCCAGAAAGGAAGGGCTTTGTCTTCTCTCCCCACTGCCTTACAGCCAGGCCCTATGGTGTGTCCCTCCTTCACCCCTAAATCCTCGGAAAAGCCACAGATGCTCATGACAAAACTCATGTTAGCAACTGCACTTCTATGTCAGGATTAAAATTGAACAGCAATCCCCACCTCATTCCAAATCCTGGTTGTCCCCAGCTCAGGCCTTTCCTGCAGTGATGGGAGGAGGGAACAGGCTGCTCCATTTCCTCACTTCCTCCGTCTGCTCTGTGTGCTGGATGGCGCCAGGTCTCCAGGCAGGGAGAAGCTGCTACAGGAAGCAAAGCCAATCTCCCTGTGGTCGACTATTAGGGAAGGCATTCAGGCCATCATGCCGTTACCTCCTGCTATGGCAGAACCCAAATTCTGGCTGCTTCACAGCACACATCTGTGGGTTATTGGGCGGCTTTGGGTATACCCCACATTGCACAGGTCCATGATGCAAACAGCACATTAGCTCCTGCAGCAACCTCCCTCCAACTACCCACCACACACCACTTCCCCAACCTGGTGTCCTCACGGCTGTAGTTCCTTTGCACTAGCAGCCTGCGCTGTTGGCTGGAGTCACAACACCATGACTCAGGCCCAGCTACCGCTCCCATGTCAACATGGGCCCCAGGAAATTCAGGTACTTTTGTCATGCCTCTAATGGGAGGGCAGGTCACAGCCGCTGCTTCCTGTCTCTCATTCAGCTATTGTGGGCTGCCCAAGCCAACCTCTCTCTGAATTCTCCAGGTGGGAAGAACTCATCTGTGCATTCAACAGGTATTTGTTAAACACCCATATTTGCTAAGCACTGTTTACTGGTCCCTAGGTTCACGATGCCCCCTCGACCCCACCCCACCCCAACTGCAGGGAGCACTCACTGAATTGCTCTCAGAACTCGCACATCGCACCCCATCTGCTGCACCCAACGTGTGCACGCCCATTCCTGTGTAGTTTTCAAACTGGGGGTGGGACGCTGGAAAGGACCCCAAGCAATCTCCCCGTGGTCTGAACTCTCCACTTAATGCATCTCTCAGCTGTCTCTTGGACACAGTTTTCCAGAGGTGAATAATACGGATGGATAGTTCCTGCTCTCTTTCTTCTCCTTTATTAAGTACAGTCTGGCTTGCCTGGTCCCTCTTTTTGAAACATAGGAGCATCTACTGCCTCTTAACCAAAATTCTAAGGCAACCAGAAAGTCCCATTGAGTATCCAGGAACATATACATTTGGATCTGAGTTTCCTTGGCAAGCAGGCACGTCATGTCTTTCACCTCATCACCAACTGACCAAGGCCATATCTTCCATTTCTATAGTTTGCACGTTCATGGATTTAGCCAACTGCACACAGAAAATAGTTTAGGGAAAACTGCATCTGTATTGAACATGTACAGACATTTGTCTTTATTCCCTGAGCAATACTGTATAACAATTATGTACATAGCATTTATATTACACACGTATAAGAGTATAAGAAATAATTTAGAGATGATTTAAAGAATCCTGGGAGATGTGCATAGGTTACATTGAGCTTCTGCAGAATTTGGTATCTACAGGGGTCCTGAAACCAGTTCCTCATGGATATCAACGGATGACTCTACACACATTATTGTGCCATGAGTCCTCACAGGTTAATGAAATATTTGTGTAGCAGGGTCAAATATTAAACAAGTGCACATATGTTTGAAAACACTTTCTTACATTCAGTAACTGGAATAATTTTTTTTGCAAGCCCTGGTGATGAACAGGATGGCACAGCTCACCTGAGATCCATGAGGACCCACAGGGGGCTGCAATAACCAATGTGGGCTTCTCTGAGGTTGGCTGGTTCCTTGGTGCCATAAGCCACATATACCCCTGCTTACCAGGAATCTGCTTAGGAAAAGAGAGGGGAGAGGAAAGGTCCCAGCTGCCTGAACATTTACTCAAAAAATACTGTTTCAGTGTGACAAGGAATGTTGAAACCAGAAGAGACTGAGGTATCGATCATCAGGAAAATGGGCACCATCTTTGCCCCCCCAGCTCAGCTGAACGAGGCTTTCATTAAGGCATTCCTGAAGGCATGGGGACAGTGGAGACACGTCCAGACGGTAGCCAAACCACAGTGTCTATCAGAGTCCTAGCAAATGGGAGTTTCTTAAGTCAGACTTCCTGGTTTTAAGTTTGCACATCACTGTTTTCAGTGCCTTGTGTTAATTTCATATTAAAAGCAGCTCTAATGTTAGCCCAAAAAAGTCCCCGCTTGCTCTTCTCTGTGGGCCATTCCAGATAAGTCTGCTGTGCCATGAGAGCCCTCAGCTTATGAAACTTGCTGGGGATGCTGCTCTGTGGAATGGGCTCCAGCAAGATCAGGATTAAGTTATTGGATCCTTTATGGAAGAGATTGTGGTGAGCAAAGTAGAGCTCATAATGGCACCACTCACTCTGGACAAAGTTGGGAGACAAGACAAAGATGGACTTGTAACTCTTCTCAATGCAGTTTATGATGTTTTCCACAATGCTCTTGCCAGGAACAAAGTCTCTCTCATGGAGGCAAACCCGGATATCTTCTTTTTCTAGGTTGGGTACTAATTCACTCTTCACCCACGCAGAATCATGCTCACTGTATGAAATAAAAGCATGGAACTGGAGATTTCTTTGGAGTTCCACTAGGGGGATGTTCCGAGCCCTGTGCCGGGCCTGGGTCCACTGACACACCATCCTCAGATACCAGGGCACGTCCAGGTAGACGCAGAGGCAGGTCACGGAAGCAGCCACCAACAGCACGGTGGCCCCAATGGTGACCATCAGCAGGGCTATGTTGCAGGATAACTGAGATACATGAAAGTCCTTGAGCAGGGTTCCCTTGTAGCCTTCTGGGTAGGCACACTTATAGGAATCAGGCCAGCCCTCCGCCACCTCACTCGATAGCTGGCCCATACTTTTGATGAACTCTCTTAGCTCGCATGTACAGTGGAATGGATTGCTTCCCGCTTTTATTGACGTAATCTTCTGGCAGCTCTGGAAGAAATGAGCTGATGGATGGGACACTGCGTTGTGCTCAATGATCAGCAGAGAGAGGCTGCTGAAGGGGCCACACCCAGGGAGGTCCACGAGGGAGTTGAGAGCAACATTGAGTTCTTGCAAAGCCTCCAGGTGGGTGACATCTTTAGGAATGGCCGTTATTCTGTTATTGTGGAGATCAAGCACCTTGACCTTGGGAGGTAAACATCTGAAAACAGAGTCCGTAAGTGCATTGGAAGACAAATTTAACACCTGTATACTCCCAGCCCAAGTGCAGTTTTCCTCATGTCTCCCAGATCCTAAAGAATTCCTGCTAACATCCAGTGTTTCCAGAGACGGCATATCCTTAGTCATGAGACCTACTTTGATGAGATCTTTTAGCCCATTCTTTTGTAAGATAAGCGTCTCCAGTCTAACCAAAGTGGAACATTTTTGAAAAATACTATCTGTGAAGACATTCTGGGTAAAGTTCAAGAACTGGAATGTGCTTGGTGCCTGGGGACAAAGCATGTGTACAAAAGGTGTATCAGATATGGTTAACATCCTGATGTTCATCTCGGAAAACACCGTGTACAAGGCTTCCTGTGAAAAAAGAAAAACTCGGTTTGTAATATGTTCTATTTTCAAAGCTTTCAGTGCCGTTCTAGAATAAGTAAAATGTTCTTTGCTGATTTTTTCTATTATTGTTAAGTTGTAAATATTGAGATATTCCACGGGCTTGGGCCAAAGGTATTGAAAAACTCTAACCAAGCATCTCCAAGTTGTTTCCATGTGATTGAGGGTAAAATTCAATAAGGTTGGCCCTCTGGTGAGTTCTGATAAAAATTTAATTAAAATTTGACAGTTCTTATCGTTCAATTTAATATTGGTCAGTTGTAAGCACCCTAAAGTATTCACTGCTATTTTCACTTGGACAGAGAATAAATTATCTGGGCAAAAAACAAGGTGAAGTGTTTTTGTGTTCAGAATTTGAAGACTTTCTGTCTCACTTTCTTTCACATGATACCGTCCTAAGTCCAGAAGGAGGTAGTTCAGCTGCAGGTGAACAATTGGAAGCAGATCTGATTGTTGTAACTTTGTGGCACTGAAGCCCAAGAAATTCAGCTGTGTCCAGTTGCCAAATTCTTTGCAGATGGGTGGGACATCGAAGTCATTGAATGACAGGTCCAAGTGCTTGAAACTCACAACAGGATGGCAGGTTAGCTCCCGCAGCCGATTGTGAGATAAGTCCAAATATTCCAAATCCTGGTTGAACCTGAAAATGCTAAAATCCAGTCGCTGGAGTCGGTTGTGGGAAAGTTTCAACATTTTCAGCCTTGACAGAAAGCTGATGTCAGAGGCCTGAAGCTCTGATATGTAGTTGTGAGATACATCTAAGGCTCTGGTTTTTGGTGGCAGGTCTTTTGGAACATGAGTAAGACCTTTTTCTGACATGTCTACCGCAAATTCACGTTCCTCAGACAGCTGAATTATGGTTCCCATGATTAAGGTCACGATGCAAACAAAACGCAGGTTTCCAATAGGTTCTTTGTCTTGGTGCATGATGTGGTAGCTATCCCGAGGGGCTGCTGTTGTTCCTCAGAGAATCTTCAAATGAATGCAGCTTCTAGAAATACAATATGTATTATTAAGGCTGAAGAGTGTACGATTACTCTCAAACCTCCACTTGCCAAACATAAAATCTCAATGGTTTCTTCGCTCTCTATTGTAATTTTAACTTAACATGATACCCCCCCACACACACCGCCGCCCCCAGTTATGCAGCCTGCTGGTGCCAGAAGCAGCAATACAGATATTGCTATCAAAGCCTTGGGGTTGCGTGTTCTGACCTGTCTGGTGGTCACTGAGGACCCCCCTCTGGGCCTGGCTTGCGTCATATAATCGCACACCTCTGATCTTTTTCAGGGATGGAGCAGCCTCTTGGACAGTGTTTGTTGAAAGCGCTTAAAGGCAAATTTGCTAGCTGCAGCCACTTGGAGCAAGGAGTTCCAAGTGGAGCAACCAGAAAACAAACCAAAAAGCCAGGGAAGGAAGAGGCTGAGAAAGGAGATACACAGAAGGCGGGCTTTGGAAAGTTCCAGGTATACCAGGGAATGTAGACGTCCGTTCACACGCCCAGAGTGGGACACAGAGAAGACCTGGGCAAATCCTGACCTTGCATCTCTGGCTGACCTTTAAGCTCCACGCAAGCAGAGAGTGAAGGTTAAGGCAGAGTTGTGAACAGCCTAGAGCAGCAATGAACAGGTGCTCCAACACAGAGCCAATCTGCAGACAGCAGATTCCGTTTCTTGAAGTTTTGTTTGGGTTTGGTTTTGCTCCAGGTGTTTAAAGAAACCTCAGATCACTAGCTGACTACTATGCTAAGAGAACAGAATTTAATGACTACATATGAACAAAAGCATAGTCTCCAAAAATAGTTTAGAAAAGTCACTAAACAAGCTACCAACCACAGCAAGCCCTAGGGAGGGGGAGACTGATTTCTAGAGGTTGCCTCACTATAATACTAAGAATGCCTGCTTTTAAAAACTATTAGACATGCAGTGAAACAAAGTATTGCCTGTTTACAGGAAATAAAAGGAATTTAAAAAACAAAGAGAATGGACACCACCCAGCATTAAGACTTACTGTAATAAACAAACAAAAAAACCTATAAAAACAAAAAAATTAAAAAATGAAAAAAATTATAAAAAAGAAGAAAAAAATATTAAAATAAAAACAAAAAGAAAAAGCAAAAAAAAGAAACAAATAAAAAATTGTAAATAAAAAATAAATTTTAAAATACAAAAAGAAATGAAATATAATTAAAAAAAGACTTACTGTAAAGCTACTGTAATCAGAACAGTGTGATATTGGCAAAAGAACAAACAGATCGATGGACCAGACTAGAGAGCTCAGACGTAGACTGGCACAAATATACTGAACTGAGTCTTGACCAAGGAGCAAAGACAATTCAATGGAGGAAGGACAGTCATGCAACAAATGGTCTGAAACAACTAAATATCCACATGCAAAACAAACGAACAAAAAAAAAAACACATAAAAATTAGCTCACAATGGATCTAGACATAAGTGTATAATGCAAAACTATCAAACTTCTAGGAAATAGCACAGAGAATCTAGCTGACACTGGGTTTTTTAGACCCCACATCAGAAACACAATCCATGAGCGAGTATTTAGCCAATTGGTTAAGATGCCCACGGCCCATGATCAGAGTGCTTGAGTTTGGTACCATCTCTGGCTACTCCAGTTTCCTGCTAGTGCAGACCCCCGGAGGCAGGGGTGATGGTTCAGACAATTGGGTCCCTGCCTCTCACACGGGAGATTGAGTTTCTGGCTCCTGGCTTCAGCCCAGATCAGCCATTATGGGCACTGGGGGAGTAAACCAGCATATTGGAGCTTACTTGCTCACTTGCTCTCTCAAGGTTTTTTAAAATGTATAATCCATGAAAGAAAAAAATGTTCAGTTGGATTTTGTTAAAGTGTTCTGCTTTACAAACAATACTAAGAGCATGAAAAGACAAGCCACTGATTGGGAGAAATTATTTCCAGGGGCCACCATTGTGGCGTAGTGGGTAAAGCTACCACCTGTGACACCGGCATCCCGTATGGGCACCTGTTCAAGTCCCAGCTGCTCCACTGGGAGCCAGTTCCCTGCTGGTGCACCTGGGAAGACAGTGGAAAATGGCCCCAGTCCTTGGGCCCCTGTACCCACATGAGAGACCTGGAAGAAGCTCCTGGCTCTTGCCTTCAGACTAGCCCAGCTCTGGCCACTGCAGCCACTTGGGGAGTAAGCCAGCAGATGGAAGACATTCATTCTCTCTCTCTCTCTCACTGTCTAACTCTGCCTGTAAAAAAAAAAAAAATGCATGGGTTCGAGTCCAGGCTCCAACTTTCTGCTAATGCGCACCAAGAGAGGCAGAGGGTGATGGCTCCAGCAGTTGAGTCGCTGCCACCCACTTGGGAGACTTGGGTTGAACTACAGGCTTCTGGTTTCAGCCAGGCCGAGCCTCAGCGGTTGTGTTGTAGCCATTGAAGAATAAACCAGCAGATGGGAGGTTTCTCTCTCTCTCTTGCTCTCGCTCTCTCTCTCTTAACACAAGTCTCCAGGGTTCATGAAGCATTTACTGAAATTATTAGGTTAAATACATTATTAAAATAAATATCCCAAAACAGAAATTATAAAAGTCCTATTTCCAAAAGAAACTTTCTATATCACTTTTTGAAATGTTTTAAGTAACTTCTGGATCAAGAAAAATCATATTTTCTTTTTTTTTTTTTTTTTTTTTTTGACTGGCAGAGTTAGACAGAGAGACAGAGAGAAAGGTCTTCCTTTTCTGTTGGTTCACCCCCCCAAATGGTCGCTGCGGCTGGTGCACTGTGCTGATCCGAAGCCAGGATCCAGGTGCCTCCTCCTGGTCTCCCATGCGGGTGCAGGGCCCAAGCACTTGGGCCATCCTCCACTGCCTTCCCAGGCCGCAGCAGAGAGCTGGACTGGAAGAGGAGCAACCAGGACAGAATCCGGGGTGCTGGCGCCACAGGCGGAGGATTAGCCAAGTGAGCCATGGCGCCGGCTGAAAAATCATATTTTCAAATACAAACATTAAAAATTATGAGAACCAAGAGGGTGGTGTGATATGCTTCTTCCTTTTGCCCTAAATTCCTGAGATGACCAAAATTATAAAAATAGAAATACTGAAAATTTACACACAGACACACAGAGGGAGATCTTCAAAAAGTTTATGGAAAATGCACATTATAAAAACACTATGCATGGGTTTCCAATTTGTTGCATCAAAAACTGATCTTTATTTCTGCTTTTCCATGAACTTTTGGAAGTACCTTGTATGTCAGTGCATACACACACACACACACACACACACAATGCACAGACAAGCAAGAAGAGAAGCCCTTAGGAGACTGAGACTAAGAGAAGCCTCTGACATCCAGAGGAAGATTGGACCATGACGGAGAGAACACTGACCCCTCAAAGCTCTTCACTTCCTCATCCCCAGAGCTTATGAATATGCCATGTGATATGGAAAGGGGAATTAACTCTGTGGGTGGAATTATGCTTGCTAATCAGCTGACCTTAACAATAGGAATATTATCCTGGACTAGTTAAGTGTGCCCAATGTAACCACAAGGGCCCTTACGTGAAAGGGGGAGGCAGAAGAGGAGAGCAGAGTGATGTGTTTGGAGAATGACTCCACCCACCATTGTTGGCTTCAAGATCGAGGATGGGGGTTGTGAACCAGGGAGCGTGGGCAGCTTCCAGCAGCCCAGGAAGGTGAGTCAATGGATCCCACTCCCTGCAGCCCCCAGAAATAATGCAGCCTTACCAACCCCTTGATTTTAGCCCAGCAACACCTATGTTAGACCTCCATCCTGCAGAACAGTAAGATCCAAAATGTATGCTGCTTAAATGACTATGTAATTTGTGACAGCAGCAATAGAAACTTAACACTGCGTGGTTTGATCCACCCTCCCAGCAAGGAGGTTGGGAAAACAAATCAACAAGCACTTTTAGAAGGAGCCTTAGATCCAGTCTGGGTTGCACAATCAAAAAGCATGACACAAGTGAACACTGTGATAAAAGGAAACAAACTCCGGTTGAGAGAGAAGTTAATATCCAAGGAAACAGACATACAAGAGCGATAGACATTTATAATAGCTATCCTCAGAAAGAGGCAAGATGCTAAAAAAGAAAGGAGTAGGAATCATGAAAATCAAGAACTTAATAATGGAAATGGAAAACGCATTGGATAAGTTGAATTGCAAAATGTCACTGCTGATGAGAAAATTACAACCAAGAAGAAGACTTTTCCCAACACTCAGCACAGTAGGCTAAAAAGATAGACCATATAAAAGAAAGGCTAAAAGAAAATGGAAGATAAGTTCATATTTAAATTCCTAGAAGATGGACTCCAAAAGAAATTGACTCCAAAAAACAGAGATGCAAGAAGGAATACCTACCAAAGGAAGTGAAATTTACTGCTAAATTTCAGTAAGTATTGATAACAAAATTTTTTAATAAGTATCTGGAACTAAAATTGCGAATGATAACAAGAAATTTGGCATGTCTGGATTGTGGGAGGAAAGGGGGAGGGTACACTGAAAGTGTGTTAAGATCCTTGCCTGGTATATGGAATATTACACAGTGGTAAAAAAAAAATGAAATCCTGTCATTTGCAAAAAAAATGGATGCAGTTGGAAACCATTTTACTTAGTGAAATAAGCCAGTCCCAAAAAGACAAACGCCATATGTTCTCCCTGATCTGTGGTAACTAGTAGAGTACCTAAAAGGTAATCTATAGAAGTGAAATTGACACTTTGAGATGCGATGATTTTTTTTTTTTTTGACAGGCAGAGTGGACAGTGAGAGAGAGAGACAGAGAGAAAGGTCTTCCTTTTGCCGTTGGTTCACCCCCCAATGGCTGCCGCAGCAGGCGCGCTGCGGCTGGCGCATTGCGCTGATTCGAAGCCAGGAGCCAGGTGCTTCTCCTGATCTCCCACGCAGGTGCAGGGCCCAAGGACCTGGGCCATCCTCCACTGCACTCCCGGGCCACAGCAGAGAGCTGGCCTGGAAGAGGGGCAACCGGGACAGA